AATTCAAAAACAACTTTTTAAACTCCTACATTAAATCAAAGGGCTCATTCTACGAGCCAAAGAACTCACAATTTTAGGCGGGACAGTTAATGGGTGGTTACCCCAGGTTGTCCCCTTGGTTTGCAGTACACAGTCTCGCAAGTAAAAATAATAAGCAGGATGCTGACTGTGTACACAGCATTCTAATTAATTAGATTTCATCCTCCTCCAATGAATACATAAATTGTTGCTTCCCTGGTGACCGTACAGAGCATGAGTGACTTGCTCAGCATCAACCAGAAGAACCAAAGTAAACACACAAGACCTCAGTCTTCCTTCTCGATATTAAACAATCACTAAGCAATCAAAAACTCTCAAATTGGCCATGAAAACTTGAGCAAGAGCACCCAGGAAATAATTTTCAAGACTACTGCACTGAACCTTCCCAAGGTCTCCTGTCTGTGTGAATGAGCCATTGTCATTTCAGGCACAAGGGGTGAAGCCTGGCAACAACAGCTAGAGAATGAATAATCCAGTGGTGCTACTGAAACACAGATCTAATCCCACAATGAGGAGATGACGCCTTCAAACAGGCCTGTTATAAAATTATCAAGTGGCACAGGGGGTGGAAGGAATAAAGTTCTGATTGAACTGACTTGAAATAATAAATGCACACACTTTCTTTAAACACAGCTTGCCACATCCTGAGAATCTGGAATCAATTCCTTCCCTTTCAAGAAGCTTAAAAGTGGTTGGACTTTGATATGGCATAAGCATGTTTGCTTCTGGGCTTACAGCCCTCACCAACCCTTTCCAAAACTTTCAACATTTTTATATTGTAAGACAGAAAAGTTAGGAAAACAAAGATGGAAAAAAAGAATCAGAAATTCAGGGAACTATTAAATCAGGGCAGCTTCACTGCCAAATACCTTTGGTAAGTAAATGAATCATGATCAATAACATATTGCCATGCAGACTTACAGGAGAAGGTTATCACCTGCTTCTGTGCCAGGCATAAAACATAATGGTGTGTGGCTAACGAAGCACTGCATGAATCCAGAAAAAAAATCACTATTTTTCTCTATAATGTTAAAGCATTTTTACTTCAAAGTAAATTTAAGTCATCCAGAAAAAACATATTTTTTTCCATTAAAACTTTGTCCAAATTGATAGGTTACTAAGAAACACTTCTCTTTTGACAATGTTACATATGTAAGAGGAAACTGTCTTGACAGAAAGAATCCTGTTTTGGTAAGGGGATGTTTCCGACCTGATTGTAAAGCTGCTTGTGCAGAGCTGCTTTATACATTCATATATTTGCCAGCAGAGGGTGTCACAATCTCAGAAACAGACCTACAAATGTATACTTGCATCTGTTCATTTACATACGAGGACTCAGACACACACTAAAGCAAGGATTTACCAATCTCTTGCTGTCCTTACTGACTTTTCCGCTATCTGGGTAAAAAAAATCATTTAGCTATGTAAAGGCTGTGCTAGCAGTGCCATCTTGCCAGTGCTCTCAAGACAGGAAACACCACAGGGACATGGCCAGCAGTGGCATCACCTGAGGTGTGACATTTCTCCATGGTCCTGGCTGCAAACTCTGCTAAGAGGGGCAGCAGCTTGGACTTCTTTTTGGTGTGCATCAGATTCCCATCAATTCTCACATCCAGTACCCTCATGCTGCATAAATATAATTAATTATCCCAGCCATTTTGTGTCACTTTTCTGCAGAGCTGTAACAGCCCGAGGCTGGGGTGAGAGCTCACGTTGCACACACCATGAGACCTGTTCTAAACCAGTACCCTACAAGGCACGGTCACACATAATCACACCTAACCCACACTCCTCACAGCCAGAGACAGGCTGGTGCCACAAATTCCCAGCCTGATATCCCACATGGTGTTTAATTCACTTCCCTGACTCCTGAGTTAAGGGAACATAATTTAAATAACTTGATGTTTGATGCTTTAACCACCTTGCTGTCCTGCCAGGCCAGGCCTCTATTTCCCATTAAAAGAAATGAAAACTATTGTTTATGTAATGACCTGGGTTCTAGAATCTATTTTTAATTTAATAACAACTCTTCTATTTGTGTTTTGATCACATGCAACTGATGTTCCAGTCACTGGTGTGGCTTTCCAGATTAACCCAAGCACTGGAATCAGCTGGAGCTAGGAATGGATGTAGAGGATGACTATGAGACACATATAACCTTTATCTCAGAGCTGGGAGCTACAGAAACCATTTTTGATAACAACAAGCAGCAATCTCTCTTCTTTTTGGATCTCACTTGCTCATGCACAGACAGGAAAAGGGACTTCACCTAAGTAATTATATTTTATAATTATTTTTTTTTTGTCACAGAACTATATACAACTACTTCTGCTGTTATATAGGAAAAATAAAAATCATATCACAATATATAAAAACGAATGTATAATATTTATTTAATATATAATCATAATAGACTATAATACTAATACAATATTAAAATTATTTTCTTCAATAGAAAGCCTCAAGCTGTACCTGGGGAAGGCCAGGCTGGACATCAAGAAGAATTTAGTCAGTGAAAGGGTTATTAAGCATTGGAATGGGCTTTCCAGAGAGGTGATGGAGTTACCATCCCTGGAAGTAGTCAAGAAGTGACTGGATGTGGCACCCAGTGCTAAGGTTTAATTGACAGCATCATGATCAAAGGTTGGACTTGATGATTTCAAGGTCTTTTCCAGATTCCAGATTTACAGATCCCAGGTCTTTTGGGATTCTGTGATTCTATTCTATTATTTTTAATAATGCAGCAGGACCTGTTGTAAAATGATATGCACCATATCAGGGCTAAAGCCTCAGATCCCTTTTGTATCAGTGTTGCAATTTTACAAAAATTTATTAACTATAAATCAAAAATAAATAGGTTCATTAGGAAATATGTACATGGTGTTGCTCTCCTTTCCTCTTTGCACACAGTCTTTTCACTGCTCAAGAAATTTAACACAACTACTTTTTGACTAACTCATTCTCCTCCATCCTAATCAGCCTTCAGAAAAACTGCTATTGTTGAGATGAACCAGGCAGAAGGTGAATAAAACATCCCTGGGATTAGGGAGAAACTATTCTTCCTTAGCCCTTGAAAACTGACAGTCAATTACTCTGCTGAAATTGAGGTCTGCACTGACAGTCCCAGAGACCTTATTCCATTGATAGAAAGAACATAGTTATAGATAGAAAGATCCAGTTCTACTCTGCCCATGTCTGCTTTATTCTCTTTGCAATGCAGCACTCCAGCTGTAATAAAATTAAGCTAAAAGCTTTTCTCTACTTTGAAGAGGACAGTTGAGCAGCAGTACATTCAGAGACTGCAGTGTCTGGATAAGACAGGAGCAGGAACCAGGTAACAAAAATAGAGTGAGAATGTTTGCAGGGAGCAAAGATTGTGTCTCTGATGCAGCTTAACAGCTCTTGTCCCTAAGACCTTGGTGTGTTTAATTGTCATTTGCAAGAGTACCTAAACCAAAAGTTTGTTATGCAGAACTAGGGAAAGCTCTCTTTAATCATACTGCTGCTTCTGAAAATGTAGAGTGCTTTGTGGAGTTAGATTCCTTATCTCACCATAGTGGATATCAGACCTTGAATTCCAGCTCTGCTTATGGCCAGATGCAGACACCTCTAGGACACTCACCTATTCCTGGCTGGAGATGTCAGCCCTTGTGAGCCCAGGCATTTGAATATTGCAGTCACTGAGAAGCAAGAGTTGGGACTGTGCATGTGGGATAGCACAGCTGAAGATTTACAGCTGCACAGCGGACCATAAAACTTCCTTGCAAATGGCCAGGATATTTTACTTTCATTGTTACATCTATTTAGTCTAACTCTTCATTTATCTTCCTTTTACAACTTCCTAGAAAAGTTAGCTGAGCATTTCATTAGCATTAGACAAAAAAAAACCCCAAGTTTTTAGCATCACTGAGAAGCGAAGCACTGTAATTATTTCCTTCTGTTAACAACACAAAAAATATTACAGAGGAGATTGTTATCTGACATAAATCATCATTTACCCATTTTTATCTCATGGGTCAGCCTTGGGCAATGAAATATAATTGCACAGATGAAGTGTGTGGCAGATCTGGAACCTGCAAAATCTAGTGTTTTCTGAATTATGTGATATAAGCCCATGGTACTCAACATGCCTTATGTCTCTGTGAAAGCAGTAATACAATGGAGAAGGTACACCAGTGAATGACAGCAAATATTCTACTAGATCATCTCAAGGGATAGGGATGTGTAAATCCACAGCTTTATGGAGCAACAGGAGCTCAGACTCGCTGGAGTGTTGCCTCTCTGAGGTGAAAGGAATGTGGAGAAGAACAGCAATTTCATTAAGAAGACTGTGTGGGATGCATATAAATATGAATGGCATCTGGCTTCTGGGGGACTCTTTCTTTTCATAAACAAATGAGAAGGAAAATCTGGAGCTTACACAGTGTAATTACATTTCTTAAATTCACTTCTGTCTTTTAATTATTTTATATGGAATGTCTTGATATAACTCAGTTTATATGAGCAAATTAGCTATAGCATAAGAGGGCCAAGAGTCTGATGGTAAAATCTAATAAAGCATGAGCTGCTCTCACAGGTTTGAGTCCAGTCACCACACACTCCTCTAAGCAGTGCTGGGGCAGAGGAGGAGGTAGCACAGGCCACCAGTCTCTTCCAGTAAGCAGTTAGGGATCCTGTTCTGGTGAGGAAACTGGGCTGCATGGACAGGAGTCACGCCATGGCTGTTGGTAAAGAGGTTACCAAACACTCTGTGGCTCTTTTATTTACTACACAGATGTAGTTAATTCAACTGTGGACATGTGAACTTGAGTCCTAACCAACCACCTCAAGCTGATCGGCAGCAGTGCCTGATGTCATGTCATCTGAGCAAAGTTTACCAAAAAAATGATGAGAGAATGGCAAAATTCTTCCACTTCTAAGCACACAAATTCCCTGACACATTTGGCAATGGTTATACTCACTAGCATTATCTTGCTGCTTGGTGTTTTTGATGTACGCAGAAAATTTGGAAAATATATCGATTCCAGCAGTGTTTGATTCCCGGTGCTTAGCAGCCAGCTTGGGATACCTGAAGAGGCAAAAGCAGAGGGGAGAGTAACATCTTGTTACCAGCATCACAGCCATGGCTACAAATATAAGAGAGGAAAAACCTCCTGTGTGAAGACCTGCAATTAACACTCATTAGCTCAAAACAGCAGCTTGGCAAGACCCTCGTAATGGTATCTGTTATCTGTCTGTCAAGGCAGGCATGTGGGGAGTTACACAGGGATGGAGTCAAGACAAAGGTAATTGCACTTGTGCTTTGTGTAACCACAATCCAAAATCAGCTTAGAATCAGAAGGAAACATACATTTCCAGAAGGGTGCAGGGGAGTGTGGCAGCCAGATCCCTCCATATGAATGGCAGCCGTGTCTGATCCCCTGCTCTGAAAATGTACTCCAGGATGGAACAGCAAAGGGTGTTAGGATTCACCAGGTTCACCATAAATTCACCATAAATGTTTCAGTCCCTGCATTGCTTTTTATAGACATTTGGTGAAAAGGAACATATTGATTTGAAAGATAAACACAAACTAACAACTCCTACTGACTTCAGTGGTCTTGGAGCAGAGTATAGAAAATTTAAATACCTGATCTCTTGCCTCAGGACTGGCCTATAGCTGCTGATTCACTTGGAGGTAAAATGCTCCACAAGGAACCAAGCCAAATTTGATGGATTCATAGATTCTAAGGTCCAACTCACAAGCCAACTATTTATTTTTTCCATTATCCTTGTATTAGGTCCAAAATGTTTGAATTAGTAAGGCATATCTGGTAAATCTAAACCTTTCATTGGTAGCTTTTTCATACTGAAAAAATCTGGGCCTTATTCCTAATCTGAATTAGTTTAGTTATAACTTCCAGTTATGTGCTCTTGTCATTTCTTGACTAGAATAATGAGCACTTTTCTGCCTCCCGAGCCTCTCGTCCTCTGTAATCAGTTCCCCTTCCAACCTTCCTAACACACCATACAGCTCAGAAACCTCTAGTTTTTCACTGTAAAATGCTTTTCCTGGCACAGATATTTTGTGTGGCAATTCTCAGCATCTCTTCCAAGTTATTTTTAGCTTTGCAAAATGTGGCCACCAGACCCCTACAAATTTTTTTTTAGTACTGGTCTCCTTAATTCTGCATACACGGGCATCCTGAAATGTGTACAGAGAAAACATTCTGCAGTTATTAGTCACATTACTAACCTTCACACATGGAAGTCATCTCACTGAAGCCAGCAAGTTTCATAAATAAATATTACTCCTGTAAGTAAAGGTTGTAGGAAGGAGTGCTTTTTAGGAACTCCTCTTAGGATGTCTTTCATTCCTAGGAAATGGAAAACTGACTGAAAAAAAATTCCGAAGATCTTACTTTGGAGGTGCAAGAATCTCTTCCAAGAATTCCTCAATCTTGTTAACATCTGTCTTGACTTCTCCATTAAATGTCAGGAAAGGTGGGTGGGTCCCAGGAGCCAGATTGTGCAGGTCAGCTGGCTTTCTGCAAGCAGAGAAAAAGTCATGAAATCACTAATCTTTATGGTCGGGTAGTTGCACAGATATTTATAGCTCCTACAAAATCAGTCTGCCTTTTTTTCCTCTCCAGTAATTTGTGGTTGGAAGACTTTGAAACTACCCCAAGCACCCTGTTTAATATAAAAACATTCCACAAGTGAGAAAAAAATAAAAACAACAGCCAAACCTGAATCCCAACTATTTTGTTGTGCACCACAGGCTTTCTAGGCCAGATAAAAATCTGATTTAACTTGGAGGGGTTTTTCTATAGCGCAAACACTGGGTCATACACCTATTTTCAATTAAACAGAAAAATTTTTACCTTTTCAGATCAACAGTGGTGACATTGAACACAACTCCTTTGAGCCACAGGATCATGAATAGACGCTGGGAGAATGGGCAGTTCCCAATGCTTTCTCCATCTATACCAGCCTGGTGGGGGGAAAGGAAAAATGGATTTCAGATTTGTTATTCATTTACCTCCCTCAAGACAGAAAATTGGATGGTGAAAGAAAAATGAGCATTTTAAAAATAACCAGCAGTGCTTGTTATTTAATATAGTTTATCATCAACACAAGAATGGAGTTACTGCAGGATTCAGCCTTTGTCAGGAGCTCAAAGGTGCAACATGAAGCCTCTCCTGAGGACATCTCTAAGGAAATGTTTCCTTTGCTGATGGCAAGCAACATCCAGCGTGTTCTTTCAACTACTCTCACACCTACAACTGCCTGCCTCATGGACAGGGTGGACACACTCAGGACTTGACCTCTGCTTTATTTAAGCCTGTAGACTGCAGTTTATATCAGCTCAATATCTGCTTCACTGTTTTACTATCTAAAACATGTACTTTAGGGTGAAACTCAAAAACTCTGGACATTAACTCCTGTTCACATCAACAACTGCCTCAGACAGAAACAGCCAGGTCCAGACAGAAATCTCAGTCTGAATCCTCCCAAAGTTCAAGGCAGGTTTCAGCCACATTCAGTCTAGTATCTAACAAATTGCCTACAAACCACCACACAACAACACAAAACTGCTAGTGTTAGCATTGAGGAGCAGCCTATTTTTTCCTCTAAAAGTTTATGGTCCTTAGCCATGCAAATTGTAACTTTGAGCCTTGAAGGGATACACATAACACCAGCTGAACTGAGCCAAAGCTGTGGCCAAGGACAACATCCTTCTACAATAATCATGCTTGTGGCCAAAGCTTTCAGGACGTAATTGTTTTGATAGATTTCCATTTTAATTTGTGGTACCATTGTGTTTAAAAGATTCTTATAATCCTGGTGAAGCAACCAACCTTCCGTTGTTGACCCACATGGATTGCATAACTGCATTTTAAGCACAGTGTGTGTCCAAAAATGGCTGATGAAAGAGCTAAGCAGATAAATACCCTTTTCCTCTGGAGACAATATTACTTATTATAATTATAATTATTAAATTACTCTGTTGGCTGTCATAAATTTTCTCTTATTAATATTCAAGGTGTGAGGTAGCATTTCTCTGTCTTAATGAATGAATCCCTTCTAATTACTGCAGCTCTGTGAAGCATCCCAGCACAACTAGAAACATTTTGAGACATGTCTAGTTGGTACAAACTCAGGCCTTGACTGTGAAATGTTCAGCCAAAAGACTTTCTGGTGAGCATCAAGAATCTTTCTCATGTCTTGAATGCAACTTTTGACAGTTCTGGGTTTAAAAACAAATTCACACTTCCTGTCACCAAACTATGGGAAGAGTGTGAATCCAAGGCTTGGAGACAACCTGACATGAAGTTCAGAGCTGTGTAAAGAGATTTCATCTGAGTTCAGATTCAGTTTCAAGCACTCAGACTCCAGAGTTACTTGGATATAGGGGGGAACAGCCTGTTTGCAGTTTTACTTGAAATTATAGATCTGCAATATGTCTGGCACATGGCATATGCAAGGATCAACAAACAACGTGGGTGAAAGAGTGTTAGAGCATGAGGATGAGTAGGAGAGGATGCATTTCCCATCTACCTGAGGTGTGAGTAGCCTGGATTTGCAAAATTTCATTAATTTCATCATTAGGTCTGTTCTGCAAATTTCATGGCAACAGCAACAATGTCACCATGGGAATACCAGGCACCACCATAGTGCATGTCATAATTACTGTGAAGTCACATTTTCTGATTTGGATTTTGTTTGTTAAACCTTTGCCAGAAGCTTTTGACTTCTTGTCCTTCTTGAAAAGAAGCAAATGCTATGGGAGAAAGCAGTGATATGACACCAAACTTCCCCTTGATTTTTTCACCATCTTAGTAATAAATCACAATTTCACCTTTTTTTCAGGAAAGACACAGGGATACAATTTCCCTGCTCTCTCTCCATTTGTTTATTCTCATTCAAAGATTAAGGGTTGCCCAGACCTGCATCTTCTTATATGTTCTCTGTCCTTCAAGGGAATGGTGAAAAACCATCTCTATAACAGAGCACTGAAGGAAGGACAAAGCAGCTGAACCACACAACCACAGAATCAGCTGAATCACAGAATCAGCCGAATCACAGAATCAGAGAATCTGCTGAGTTGGAAGGGACCCACAAGGGTCACTGAGTCCAACTCTTAGCAAAGGACATCCCAAAGAGCCGCACCATGTGCCTGGAAGAATGATAATGACAAGGGAGAAACAGAAGTGATGGGTTGTGTGGGGCTAAGGGATGTAGAAGTCATAGGGAAGTTCAAGAAGATGTGAAATCTGGAAGAAATAAGATTGACTTGGTGATCAAAAATAAAATTAATTGCGTAGGTCAAATGAGGGCTCCAACAGACCCAAATGGTCGAAATTCCTTCTCAACACTTCCAAAGCAATGGGAAACATTTATTGCTAGAGACACATTGGGAATAGGCAGAGGAAACTGCAAAAACAAAAGATAAACTAAAGAAAAAGTACAGTATGATCTCTGTTCAAAGCTCTGGGATCTGGAAGCCAGGCTCATGATTTGGGTGGAGACTGACCCATGGGTTTTGATCTCATGTGACTGGCATAACTGAAAATGCTACCACAAATCACAAGGCAAACTGGTGACAGAGGAGGGAACAGAATCAAAATCTCCCCAGCAACACAATTTATCTATTATATTCAGCTCTTTTTCTGTGGAAATTATAGGCAAAGCTCTGTTGTTTTTGTGATTCCTTTCTCATTGCTTCTAACAGCAGTCAGTAATTTAATGTTCAGCACTCAGAAAGAGCAAAACCTTAGTAGGTAACAACTTCAAAGGTTTATCAGAGTGTTTTGAGATCCCTTGTGAAGTCTATTAACTACCAGGAGGAGATGAGAAGGAAAACTTCCTAGGCTTAGTCACTCTGAGCCTCAAAAAAACCCCAGTTTTTTAAAAGCACCCAGTAGTGCCTAAATAAAAATCTGTTACATATTTGTCCAAGAGTAAGGGCTCAGAAAGGCAGGAATTAAATAATACCTTCATCAAGATCAAGAACTCAAGCAGTGGATGGAAAGAAAAGAACATATAATTCACAAGCTGGAGAACCACCATTTTTCCCTGCTGTTTTTCACAAAAGTTTTCTCACGTAGCTTCCCTGAAACACAGTGAAAGTGATGAAGTACTTATAAAATGGAGAAAGTTGGTGACATATGCACTCTCCCTGCCAGAAATATTGGATATTTCTGATACAGTGATTACAACTAGGGACAGTACTGACAATTCTGAATAAAAGACTGCAGCTAGGGACAGATTTGAGGCTTTGTGGGCACTAGGATAAAAGAGAGAGAGTTGTTAAAGTGCACTCCCAACTGAGAAGAGCCTTACCAGAAAAGGCAAATTCCCATAGTGACTGTGGAAAAGTACAATAGATTTGAGGATTTGCTGGGTGAGACTCTTTGGCCAACCACTCACCCCACTGAAGTTGAACTTAGGTGCCCAAGAGAAGCTCTCCTCTGTGAGCAAGGCCAAGATGCACATCTGAAAGATGAATCTCTCCACCTTTCACTTTGACTGAATCCACTGAGCGTCTTAGTTTTGATGAACATGGACCCCAGCAATAGAAAAGTCTGGAGTTTGTGGAGACAGAATTTCTAGAGACTTATGTTTCTCCATCTTGGAAATAGCACTTGCTGCTCCCAATGCTTCCCACAAACATAATTTTATTAGTTTACCTACTCAGAATGTATGCCTTTCTACTTAGCCTCCAGCTGTTTCTGTCCTTCACACCAAGGGATGCAAGGTCCTGCCCTGGAACTCAGTGTAATAACATCAGGAAAAGCCTCCTGTCAGACCAGCTGCTTCCCTCTATCTGAGTAATGGCAGGAATGAACAATGTGTTCTCCTTTATTAATTATAAGGTGCTCCTCCTTAAACAGTTCAGCTATTTCCAGTGAAGTAATTAAACCGTAATGACATTTGTGTGCATGTGTGGGGGCTGCATTATCATATCATTAATTAAGAAAATTTAGGTGGTTTCAGGAGGGAGAAAAAATAGTCTCAATGATTTTATTTGTACTTTGTGTCAAGTATTTTTGTGAAGTCATGGCCGTATCAAAAGCCTCCAACCACTGCATAGCACAGCTGAACAAGGAGTTCTCAAGTTCAAGCTAATACTTTGCTATAAATGAAGTAACTGGAATAAATTTCCTCCCATATTCCAAAAAGTATACCAACTGGTACATGCAATACACACAGACAACTGTATATTATTTTAACTAACCTTAAGGGAGGAAAAAAAGACAAGTTCCAGTTTTCCCCAAAATACAGAACTTCAAATACACCATCATTAATAATGACTAAGCATCTAGCTTAAAAATGGAAGCACTGGAAGGAATTGCATATGGCAAAGCACTGTGATTTTTCCAGGCAAATAATGTATTTGGGTTTATCTATCCTCCTTCTTTCATTTTTCACTGCATGGAGGTCACTCTGCATGTGGTCCAGGGGTCTGTTAGTCTGTGGGGTAAAGCAAGGAGTATTTTTTATGACATTAAAACACATTTATTTTCAAAAGGATTTTAACAAGTTAACAAAAACAAGCAGGATAATTCACCTCAGTGTTTCACAGTAAGGATTAAGAAGAGATTTGATTTCATCATCCCTACAATCAAACTTAAGGTTCACATTACACATGGTTACATCCTCTCTGTTTTAAAACTGGGAAAGCTCCTGCTTTTTGACACTTACTCTCCTTACACTCAGAACCCAAAGGGGAAATGAAAATCCTATTGGAAATGCAAAGCATGCCAGGAAATATCCTATTTATTGTGAAATTAAGAAAAAAAAATCTGTCATAGTAATTATACCACACACAATAGCAAAAATCTCCATTGTAGTGAAAAAAACATGGGTTGCAACATGAGATCAGACATGCCAAGGTATTGCTTTAGTAAGGTTTCTTTCCATTTTCTTGTCTTTTTTTTTTCCCTTCCCAACTTCTTATCCAAATCCAAAAGCCAGTGAGCTTTTTGG